CATATGCACTTTTTTTTTAAAGAATAGAATTAGATTTTATGAGTCATTGAAGGACAGAAGTTACTTCCTCCCCAAATTTGCTGTCGTGGCCCAACAGAACTCAATTGCAAGGCATGCTGGGAAGAGCATCAACCCAGAACACAAGAGGGGTTAGGGAGGGGTTGTGAGGATAATGAATTCTGCTGTGTGGATGGCATGTCCCATTGAGTCCCGAGGGGTCGTGGTAACTTGGAGTCAGCTGTGGGCTGGCAGTGATATCCAGGGATATAGTTTGATGTAAGAATATTGCTGGTGGAAGTTCTGGCAGTAGTCTCAGTGACTGTTGGGCTGCCAGGAGCAAAGCACCCCCAATCTCCAAACTAGCTCATGTTAAGAAAAATAAAAGAGTTATATTGGAGGGGAACAAACCAAAGACAAAGATGCATCTGAGCCCCTTGGTAACTTCAAAGCTTTCTAGAATAGGCCTCTGTTTCTTTCTTGCTTTCTATTTCCCTGCTCATGGTAACATGGCTTCTCTAGCCCCTGGCGAGTCTGCCTAGCCTCCAAATCCCCTGATTCTAATTCATACTCAGAAGAGAGAGACTCTGAATGGTTCAGCGTAGGTTAGGTGTTTTCTTCCAATCAGCTGGCAATTGACTACGACTAACTTGATAGGAATCTTTAAAAAGGGCTTGTACCTACAGGGAATGATTACTTGGTGCTCCCACAAGGAGTAAGATGCCATCTTGAGTCCAAAGAGGCTGATTGGGTTGGAGCAGGACTTAGCTTGCTGCTGGCCATAAAAGCATGGCAGGCACTATCACGATTAATCCATGACCCGCTTAGAAAATCATGAAAGATCATTAAATAGGCAAACTCTTACTCCAGCTTGCCTTAGAACATGGCGCACAGGGTGTTCCCACATTGTTGATTTTCTGTGTCATGGTATCTTATTGAAAGTGGCAGGTCTGCCCCGGCACCCAGGGCCATGGTGTCACACCCGCTTTCAGCTGTCTTGGAGGGAGAGTGAATTCCCTGCCCTAACCACCTCCCTTCCTAATTCTGCACATGGCATCCAGTCATGTTTAAAATGAGACTGTCCTCGCTCTCACATCCCAAATTTGGGAAATTCTATCCAGCCATTTTGCATGGTACACTGACAGACGGTTACCTTTATTTACTTACTGATTCAATGTGAGAGGTAAAGGAGAAAGGGAATTTAAAATGAATTGAAGTCATTTTGTGATTAGAGGACAACGCAATGTGTAATGAAGAACAGCAACATTAACCACGACGCTTTGAAAGAAACACTGAGAGTTGAGCAGACTGGCTAGTTTGAAGAGAAAGATGGTGAGCTTGCCTTGCTGAGCTTTTAATTGGAGTTGACAGTGGAACACCCACGTCGAAACGTCCTGTGGCCAGCTGGAGCTGCTGGGAACTCAGGAGACGGGAAGATAGAATATAAGTCAGGATTCATCAACCCAGAATGATGAGAGTTGAAGTTTTGGGCTCTGACGAGTCCTTTTTGGGAAACTGAGTAAATAAGGGGGCACTGAACTGGATCTTGAGCTGATTCTCTTGCTCTTCCTACATATATGAACATGTCTATGTATACATATATACATATATATTTTATTTTATTTTCATGTAATAGAGTCTAGCAAATAAGTCCAAATCAAAAACAACTCCATGTGGCTTTAAGAAATATCTTTGGAGACTTTAAAATAATTTTATAAGCAGAGTGAGAACACAGTCAAATTTCAGGGCACTGTGGGGAAAAACAATTAGTAAAAATTGGAGGGAGTGGCGAAGGACTAGTTTGTTAGGTGAAACCACTGGAGCTCACTTTATGCCTCTCAGGCAATTTCTTGGATCACATTCTGCTTTGATTATGGTTTGCATTCATTGCATTGTTTTAACCAAAATTTTGAATTCTCTGAGGGCAAGGCCTTTATCTTTTTCATTATCTTTGCCCTTTTTTCACCTAATACCATGACTTGCAAAAATAAATTCTCAATGAAACTTGTAAAATTCACTTTTCTGCTCAATATTGGCTCTAGTTTGCCTCCAGCGGTGTTTTCCAAATTTCAATGTTCCTTATGTTGGAGTGGGAGATGAACTTGGTCGTGTGTGGACAAATTGCATTTATTTTAAAAAATAAGTCATCTAAGGGATTGATGTACCAAAGCCAGACTGGATAGAGCACAGTCGATAGGCCCCAGATATCATTTATTTTTTACAGACACAATAAATTGCTATTTATGACTTTGGTATGATGTTTAAAAATTTTTAAATAAAAAAGTTTTTTAAAAAGGCAAGTTAGTAAAAATATTTCCAAATAGGCAAATTTTAGTAGACAAGGCAGACAAATATGGTAAAGCTCTTGAAGCTGGTGGGCGAGACAGCCAGAGTTTGGGCAGGGTTTAGCCTCCTGCCAGGGAGGGTGCCACCTGTGCCTATAGAATCAGGGGCTTCAGATGTTATGTTTTTCACAACAACAGTAAACCATAAAGCTATAAAGGTGAAAACATCTGTACCCATAGCCCCTCCAAAATCATCTCCCACCCTATTTTGGGAAAGATAGTTATTTGGAAATGTGCCTGCTCTCCCCACTGGTCTAGGGAATCCTTAACATGGGGCATTAATCGTGGATTATTCACACAGCATCTCTGGCAGTAGAACAGTGCCTGGCGTACAGTGAGCACCACTGTTTGTCCAGAAAGTGCAAGGACAGCCAGATGCCAGTCGTAACGTTGAATAGCTGAGACACTGGTGTGCCCCAGCCAGGCTTAGCACAGACCAGAGAGGTCTCAGGGTTTCCCCAAATACAGTTAGTGGTGGAAACAAGCCACAAAACACAGCAATGCCCACAGTGGATCCCCCCGCCTTGTTGGGATTCTGACTAATGAGTTTGGGGGGCAAGTTGAGTTCTTCCAAGTAGAAAGCAAGCAAGTGAAATCTCTCCCTCGTTCCTTTCTCTGTGGCCGATGCCATCTGCTAGTTTTAAAAATAATTTTTAAAAGCAAGTGTTTTGGTTTTCTTCAATGTGCAGCAAAGACAGATACTATTTTTAGGCTTGTTTTCTATCAACCCCAACCCCCCCCAACACCCGAAACCAGGGGCTGGGTGTCGGCAGTGCTGGCTGACTGTCTCCTCTGCCACTATCTCGCAGGTGACCTTTATGCGAGTCTCATCTGCGTTGGGCACTGACAGCACAAGTGAGCACTTTGCCTCTTGGTACACATGTTGAGAGGAGTCATCAGGTCCTTTGACATTTCAAAAAAGCTCCAGTAGCCCATACTCCTGCCCTGTGAACCTCCAGCTCTGTCCAACATGTGGCTAAAGCCCTCTGCACCTTCCCTCCCCTCTGGACTGGAGACTCCGGGAGGCGAGGACTCTCCTGCACAACCATGCAATGTCTGGTGCAGAGCCTAATACCAGGTGGCAAACGTGGACTCTGGAACCGTACGGGGTTCAAGCCCTGGCTCTGTGGCTTAATAGCTGAGTGACCCTTAGTATGTTACTTTCTCTTTCTCAGCTGCAAATGTCATGTCTTTGAAAGGGACAGGATAGTAATACTGTTGGGCTGTTTTGAGAGCAAATGAGACCAAATATAGAAAGTTCTTTGCTAGCATCATGATAAGTAGCTTAACTTCATTATTGCTGTTATTCCAATTTTTGGACACTTAGTACACATTTGACAGATGCACATAAGGCCTGTATAAGATAAAGCTGTAAGGAAGATTCCCTGCAATTATGTTATTAGGTAAAACTGATCTACAGTGCTGGGTATGTCTTAGGGGCTATAGGTTCAAACCTCTGCAGATAAGTGTTTTCAAACCATGCCCACTGCCAAACCTCCAGTAATCCTGCAGTTGGCCTCCTCCCTGGCCCACCTCTGCCCCTACACCCTCCTCTTCTGGTTACCTCAGTTGTGTGTTCAGATTATCAACGGTTTGTTATTGGTTTAGTCTTTTTTTTTTTTAATTAATTAATTAATTAATTAATGCAAGCATTGGATACAGTCAGAATCGCGGGAGTGTGAGAGAATTCACCAGAGCCAGAGGGGAGAGCAGAGCAGGCAGACTGACTAAGTACACTGTTGAGGGGAGCAGCGGGCGGCAGGAGAGGTCTGCGCGCCATGTGGGACCCTCGCCCAGTGGCCGGGGATCGAACTGGTGCTGTAGAGGCTGCGGGCAGCCTTGTAACCCAGAGCCGCTGCGCCACCGGGAAGGCCCCTATTGGTTTAGTCTTGTCTGACCCTTTTTTTTTTTTTTTTTTTTTTTTGGGTTTCTCTCTCTTCCACATAGAAGTGACATCAGCTGGTATTTGTATTTTTTTCTTCCGACTTAGTTTGCTTAGCACCATCCCTGAAAGCTCCCTCCATGTTGTTGCAAATGGAAAGTGTTAATTTTTTTTTAATAGCTGAGTAATATTCTTTCCATCCCATTGCTTGAGTGTCCCCACGACATGGGACTGGCTTCCCTGAAAGTGAGTAGCCCAAGAGGGAGCAAAGTGGAAGCTGTACTTTCTTTTATGACCCAGTCCTGAAAGTCACACATAGACCTTTTTGATAGCCTGTTGCTTATACAGTCGGGCCTAATCCCTATGGGACAGGATTACGTTAACACCAAGGGATCAAGATCACCGAGGCTGGTGACTTCCACTCCCCATTACCTGTAATGTGATTTCTTAATCTTTCCTACTCTATTAGCTTTAACCTAAACAGTAAGATCCATTAAGTCCCAAGATTAATGAGCTAATTATATTTTCTGGTATAGACAAACATAAACTTAAATAAAGAGTTAATTTAAAAAAAAAATTGTGCATCACCTATACTTATTTGCATACTTTCAGTGGTACAAATACTCCGCTTGGGGAAACAGAAGGCCTGGCAAATTAGGGACTGTCATAGACATCTGAGAGTTTCGATCATAAATCCCAGCTATTATTCCCTGCTCTCCATTTGGAAGCTGCAGTGCTCCAGGATGTTGATGTTGCTATTTGGTCTCTTCTTCCAGGACCGCCTGTACTTTGTGATGGAGTACGTGAATGGGGGCGACCTCATGTACCACATCCAACAAGTTGGCCGGTTTAAGGAGCCTCATGCTGTGTAAGTGAGAACCATGTCTTTCCCTGGGGATAAATGGGTGGGTTGTTCATTCCTTTGGGGTTTTAACTGAATAGGAATTTTAAACATCTTGAGCTACTTCTAAAGAAATGTGTGACCAGGGGCAAAGGATGTCCTGCTTGATCTGGGATGCTTCTTTCTCTCCTGACAGCAGCTGAGAACCTGACACTCAAAACCCCCAGTTGCTTCTTTATCTCTAATTAGTTATAATAAGAGTTATAAGGTATAGCTTTATCTCTAGTCTCTTGCCCCTGATTCTCAAGGAAAGGCCTGTAGCTTCCTCAGGGAATGTCACTGTAGGTTTTGTTTATTCATTGGCCAATATTAACTGAGAGCTTGCACTGGGCCAAGTCCTAAGTGCTTTGCAGCTATTGTCCCATTTAATCCTGAGAACCACCTAGGGGTCCGTGTTCTCATCTCCACTTTACAAATGAGGAAACAGACCAGAGAGCTTTTTGAAACTTGCTCAAGATCACAGAGCTAGCATGAGGCACATCCAGATTTCTGACCCAAATCCTTTTTGCTCATGTTCTCTGTCCTACATCACTCTCCCTCTTGGATGCTTTCCCTCCAGGGGCCTGAGGATCAAGTGGTGTGGTGGCTCTGCTCTGTGGCTCTTGGGATGGGGAAGACTGACTCTGGGCTTTGGAAATGTGCTTCCCCTGCTGAGTCCATTCTGTCCCTTTCAGTCCCCAAGGCAGTCAGTCTCTTCTTTTTAGAACACAAATCTCACCTGCCTAGAACAGGAACATAGCAAGTCTTAGGAATTAGCAATGTTAACCTCTTCTGGGGAGTTTGTTATGATCTTGCTGCCCCTCTAAGATGACACTGGGGCTCATGTAGAACCCCATCCTTTCATTCCAGAGGCTTTCTAACTCTTGCTCAATTCAGCCCCGCTGGCTGAGGTTATGAGCACTGTATTCCCACAGGGTTTGCAAGCTTGTGCTTCCAGATCTTGCCCTTTGCAGATCTTGGTGGAAATTCTAATGACACCATAAGGTTGACTCTCTTCTTCTATTTCCAACATCTTGTTGACCACAGGCCTTCATCTCATTACACACAGGCATAGTTCCCCAAAGCCCTGTCCATCCCTTGCAGTATGGCTGGGCATTCTGGTCCCCTCAGAACCTCTTTCCTTCCAGTACTTCATTGAGAGCATCACACAGACGCTGCTCCCAGTCCTGCCTGTGCCCTCACCAGCTCTGTATTTGACTGAGTTATTTCTTGACTCTGAGGCTGTTTCCTCATCTAAGGAGGAGAGAAGTAATACTTGGATTTACTGCATATGATTATGATTAGGATTAAACCAGATGATAACCCAAAATGATGCTAGGTAGATGCAAGCCTCCTAAGATATTTTAGCTTGGTGTCATCTGGAACCATCATTCTCCATCCAGTCCATCATGTCTCATGGGCTTCTCTCCACTAAGCAGTTGACTGAACCTCTGCCCACCCCCAATTTTTCCTTAAGGCAATCTCCTAGCTCTTTAAACCCTGTCGGTCCACTCACACTGTCACCCCTCATTTTATGAGATGCGTGGCTGACCATTCATGGTGGGGTATTAATGCCCTATGCCTCATTCAATATTGTATTGAATCCTGAGACTTGTCAAGCATATGGTGTCCTTGAATTTCTCCATCACTTTTTTTTTTTTTAATTTCAGATTTTATGCTGCAGAAATTGCCATCGGTCTGTTCTTCTTACAGAGCAAGGGCATCATTTACCGGTAAGTGAACACGGCTGTACTTCCTGTCTCCTCATCTCCCTCAGCTCCTCCCTTCCCTGTCTCTTTCTTTAACTGCTTTTAAAATTAGAATCCATGGTGGGGGAGGAATCCTCCAGTACTAACTTGGGCATGTGTTCTGCCAGGCAGCATCGCCCACTGCCCTGGCAAAGCCTGGACAGCTCGATCTGGTGGCAGGAGATCTCGGACCACCAGTGATGGTTCAGAGCCTGCGGCTGGAGACCGTCTGTTCTGGGAGGAGGAGGCTCACCGTGGGGGCCCAGCACTTCTTTCTCTTGCCTGTGGACCCCACATTTGGGGAGTAAGCAAAGACTCTGGCAGAATGTGATGGATCAGATTATTATGAAACAAATGTATTTTTTTCCTTGTTTCTATGTAACTACAATTTAGAAATGGATCTCTGAGTAGCTTTCCCTGAAAGACAGGATTAAGTTCAAAACTTGGCATTTGCCTGTTTTTGGAGGAGCAAGTGTATGATCATAGCTGTATGAGTCATACCATTTTATATTTCATGCAAAACAGACTGTTGAGCCCAAGGCTGCTATTTGTCAGCGAGTCCAGGGTGTACAAGTCTCCTTATACCACATGGAAGCAAATGGCATAGAGAGTGCAGACTTGGGTTGGTTTATTATGCAAGAGAGGCTGGCAGGGGCAAAGTACCAAAAGGGTACTCAGCTTAGGTGAGAGTCTATTTAAATGATCCCAAAGAGTGATCATTAAAGTGATCATTTTGTGATCACTTTCACAAAATGAAAGTCCTTTCATTCATTCATTTGGCAAACATTTATCAAAAGCCTACCATTAGCTAGGCGTTTTTTCAGGTGGTAGGATACAGCAATGAAGGAAACAGGTGACCCCTGCCTCCATACACTTCCTCTCCACCCTCTCCTCCTACTCCCACCCCTGCTCCCATGGAACTTATATTCTAGGGGTGGGAGACAAATATGTACATCACAAAGATACAGCCTCCCAAGTAGTGATAAGGGCTATGGGGGAAACCAAGAGAGAACTGGTGTGTGCTGGGTGGGGGTGGGGTACCTGTCTGCCATAGAGAACACGGTAATGATGTGGGACTAAAGAGTTAGAGTGACCCTAGAGTCCTGAGCCTCTTGTTGTGGGAATGAAAGCCATAAAGAGATTAATCCTTGTGATCTAAAGCAAATAGTGCAGGTGAGGCTAGGGGTGTTAGGCGGGGTGGAGGGATGAAAGTTGGAGGCCTCGCTAAAAGCCTCCGGAGCACTAGGACTTGTTTTTCCCTTGATATAGTAATAATAAATCTAGCGGAGGAGATACGCTCTTATCTGAGTATGGAGAGCCTCCACCCTTCATATTTACTCCTGGCAATGGATAGTGGGATGAAGGTCAGGAAGAAGAGTTTTACTTTGGACATGAGTGATCACAATGAGGAAACAGAAACAGAGAATAATAATTCAAGCTTTAAATAGTATAACCATCATGCCCATGCATGGCCTGGGTAAACAGACATCACTACCTGAACAGGTGTCTCTGTAGGTACTTGAGACAGGACCTGTGAATCCTCTAATTCCCCCAGATTCCTCCTGACTGTCATAATGGGAAGCACTTTGTTGTGCCCCGTGTAATTATGTTGTTGGAAGGTACACATTATCTTCCTTATGACATGACCCCTAAATCCAAGCCAATGACTTCAGCTAGTGCTTAACCAAAGAAAGAGGGATCACGATTAATTGTTCACACTACGTGATTTTCACCTTAAGCACTGTCACTAGAATCTAACTCCCGTACTGGCTGGGTCTCCACTGGAATAGAACCAGCCCCTCAGGGCTGCTGAGAAAATTAAACATGGGACTGAGAGTTTATTGAAGGAAAATCCACTCCCAGGGGAGGGTCCAGGAGAGGAAGTAGAGCCCTTATCAACTGGGTTGGGATTCAGGGGTAGGTTTCCAGTCTAGCAGAGAACTGAATTGGGATCTGGGATCCATGGACCAAGGTCTTTGGCCAATCAGGTCATAAAATCCCCAGGTTAGCATTTCAGGTACTAATCCCATGTCTAACTCCAACATTCTTCGCCCCCCTGACTACACATCCTCCCATTCATATCTTCCACTTCTCATGTATGCTTTTTTGGGGATATGTATCACTCTTTCAAGCCATTTGGCATCTGGACTTTTATTTGTGTGTGGGAACTGATTTCATCTTCAACTATATAGACTGAAAATGCCAGATATGTTCACAGTCTCCCTGTAGCAAAGACAGGCACACAACCCAGGCTCTAACACTCCTACCCTCCCTCAAGACTCATATCAGAAGTTTGTGACCAAGAAAGCAGAGATACAGAATCCAGACTGGCCCTAGCAATCTCTCACCTCTAGTTTCCAGAGGTGAGAGAAGCATTTCTTATCAACAGTTTCAGAACCCAGCATTAAAGATTCATGGAACAAGGGCAATGTCTGTCCCCTGTAGGGACATTAGGCATCTTCACCAGACCAGATCTGCATTACAATCAGGCATTGTTCCAGACTCTGTATTCTCCAAATCTGTCTCTAAATCTCTCAATCGAGGTTCTGAATTGTAAGTAACAAAGCCCACTTCGACTATTTCACCCTAAATTACATGACAGAAGATGAATGGTTTTATGATTTTATAGAGATTGCCTTTATGGTGGTAAAGCCTTTTCATTTAAATCTCCAGTTAAATGGACAGTTTTTAAGTAAAGAGAATGAGGAATTATGTTAGGCTTGGCCTCTCTGAGGACCATGATTGGGGATGTTGGGAGCAGAGAAGAAAAAAAAAAATCCTTCTTAGTGTCTGATTTATGGATCACCACTCTGGAATGTGTGTTGATTTTTCTATTGAAAGATTTCTGAAAATGAAAACAATTGCCCCAGCCCCCTTTTGAAGCAGAAGTGAGTGTTATGACATCAAACAAAAGAATGCAGGGGGCTGTCACACACTACTATTTGACAGTGACTGGGGTGTCCTCCAGCCACAAGATCTGCTGTGTCTGAGCACCTGCAGCTTCTTATCTTTAACAGAGGAAGGTTTTATCACTTCCCTGGTTGCCCCAGCTGCCTGTTTGGGAGCATGCAAGCAATCTGGGGGGGGAATGTTGTGTGTGTCTAGGTGAAGCAACTTGCTGCAAAGTCCAGTTTTTCTGGGTTCTAAGTTGGCATTCAAAGACCACCAGAGCCTGTAGATGGGCATGAGGGATGGTACCATGGACAGCGCCAAGGACATGGCATGCTGCTCTGGGTAAACCAGGTGCCCCACCTTGGATGAAGGGACCTCACAGACACAGTGGGAGATGCCAGAACAATTTTTTCAGGTTGTAATAATATACTAACTTTAAAAAGGCAGGTTTGTGGTGTTTTTTTTTTTTTTAATTGATGTAAAAGAGAAGTTCAGGGGATAGATCTAACTTTAGGCTTGGGTGGACTCAGGATTTAAAACGATATTATGAGACTTCATTTTCTACCCTCCCTCTCGACATTGCTTTATCTAGACTAGCTCCCTTTCCTCCACCTGGTGACACCTGGCACTTCTAAACCTTCATTCTACCATGGAGCAATCCCAATGTAAGAAGAGCTCACCTCTCTCCTGAAGGCACTAGCAAAAGTACCATCAGGGCCATGGTATTTTCAGTGGTAAAGACAGGCCCATGTGACCCTTCTGGGACCCAGCAGTTAGGATCAGCAGCACTCCCCTCATGTGGCTTGAAAGTCAGAGAAAGATGTCCTTCATAGGAATATAGGGAGGCTCTCATCACAAGATGCTAGAGTAGGCAGAAGCCACAGATGACCACCACCCAAAGATGGTCTAATGTAGAGATCTAAATTGAACAACAGATTCCCTTACCTCTAAGAAGAAGTTGAACTTCTATTGAGATTGAGAAAGTCTGGCCCATTGTCACCTCTCCTCACTGGTGTAGAAACACCAAGTGTTGACTTTGGAGTAGGCGTTTAGAGAGGAGGAAAGTGTATTGGAGTGATCAATATGCCGAGAATGTTCAAGTGTTCCCTCAAATAGCACACACTCCTCATCAACACAGATGAAATAAAAGAGTGAAGTACATATCCTTTAGGTTACAGGTTAAGTATCACCTCCATGGAGAGGTCCCTTCTGACACTGTTTACAGAGAACTTCCCCAGTTCCTGTATCTCATCATCCTTTTTTATTTTCTTCTTAGCACCCACCAGAATCTGTACTGATGATGCTTATAGATTTGAGTACTTGTTAATTTTCTTTTTCCCTTTACTGGAATTGAATCTGAACATGAGCAGGAGGCTTGTTTGTCATGTTCATGGTATATTCCTAGCTCCAAGCATGGTGCCTGTCACACAGTGGGTGCACAACCAAGTTTTTTTAACTTAAAGAATCCATGGAAACTCCTGGCTCATGTGCTAGGAGAGCTCTGAACAGTTGGTGTTAAATAAGACTTTCTTGAGCAGTTTTTTCTATGTTATCTTCAGAGAATTTTTTAAGTACAAATTTTGTGAGACCTTTATATTCCTAAGAAATGAAAGGGGTCCTTGAGTTACAGAGGTCGTTTCTTGAAATGGTCCAGGATACAAGGAGCCTCCATGGACATACTACCCTATATTCAGCTTTCTCTCCAGTGATTCTCTCTGGTCAAAGCTGCTGTTTTTCTGTGTCCTCATGAGACTCTCAGCACAGTTGGCTCTGTAGAAAAGAACCCAGAAACCCATGTACCCTTCTCGATCTCCCTGCCAGAGTGTGAGCAACTGGAGGACAAGGCCTGGTTTGGACTCACTGTGTCCCCCCAACACCTAGAACATCCTTTTGCATATAACCAGTGATGCCAGTTGACTTGACAAAAATAACATTTAATGAAACCCCTAAACTCTTACATCCACTGCAGTGACCTAAAACTTGACAACGTGATGCTGGATTCTGAAGGCCACATCAAGATCGCTGATTTCGGCATGTGTAAGGAAAACATCTGGGATGGGGTGACAACCAAGACCTTCTGCGGCACCCCAGACTACATTGCCCCGGAGGTGAGAGCTGGCAGGACCCCTGACCTACACACCCTCCCCTTCACTCCACCCCCCTCCCCCAGATGGCCGTATGAAAGCCTGGGAAAGGTTGGGGAGCGGGGGATACCTGGCAGGCAAACCTCAGGCCAGTCCTTCTTTATACTCAAAATCATTCCTTTCAGATCACACATCCAAATTAACTTAGCACACATCCAGAAGCTCAGGCCCAAAATACATCAAGGTTTGGGAGAAAAGTTAAATAAAACTCAAGAGAACCTTCCACCACTCATCAGTAAAATTCTTTGTCAAGCTGCTATGACTCGTGGCCATATGATTCCTCCCAGTTATGACATTGAAATGTTTGTTAAGGGAGAGACAGAGAGGAAGGCACTGAGAGAGCCTTGCGCTGACACATGACACAGTCCTTGTGCTCCTCAGGATGCTTTGTCCTGTATGAAGACACAAACGGAAGGGTGAGGATTTCATTCTAGAACCTTCCTCTCCTTTGCCAAAGAAACGGTTAGTTGTGGAATGAATTTCCCCTTCACACTGTGGTACAGTGGTTTGGTGCCAGAATATATAGCTTTCCTTTTCTTTTTCCACTTCTGAATTGGTGCTTGAAAATGTGGCATTCTGCAATGTGTTTCTGGATTTTTAAGGAAAGGAACTGAAGGCTTGGTAGAGCATCCTGGAGATGGACATTCTAGAAGTTCTCTTTTCTTGATTCAGCCACTTGCTGTATAATAATGGCAATGGAAGATCCCATGCAACAGAATAATTTGGCACAAAATTTAAATCTGCATACTCTTTTGCCAAAGCAGTGCCTCTTTTAGGAGCCTAGTTTGTAATATACAGGCATGTGCATGCGTGCACATGCGCGATACACACACACACACACACACACACAGAGTGAAAGATGTGTGTTCAAAGTCCTTTCTTCATTGTAGCAGTTATTGAAGAATGAAAACTAGGAGACAACCTCACTGATTCTCAATAAAGCAATGGTTAACTAAAACATTCTGTGTTCATATTAGGAAATACTATGCAGCCTTTAAAAAGATCAGAGCACATATGTCTGTGACTGGAATGGCCACCAGTAAGGGAGTGGGCAGTAGACTAAATTATTTATAGTATGAAATACTTGTAGGCATCAATTTGAAAGAGTGAGTTAGCTATAGATGTACATGTACAAAGATCTACAAGACAAATGGTTAAGAGAAAAAGATCAAAATACAGGAAGGCATAGACTGTATGACTCCACTTATGAAAAATAATGCCAACACACAAGACACTGCTTTATATTTTCTAGGTACATATATGTACATGTAAAAGCATAAAAAACCTGGTGTTTCTGGACTGGTTTGATAACATTGGCCATCTCTGAGGTAAAGGGAAATTTAGCTTAATCTGTAGGCTACTGAAAATTTTCACAAGGTGTAAACCTATTTGTGTATTACTGAAGTGATTAAGAAAAATCTTTTAAAAGAGTAATTCTGTATTAGGACCCAGTGGGCTTTCCCCTTAGTTGATTATCATTTTGTTAATCGGTTGACACCAGGCACAATTCATTAATCTTCCATGAATTCAAGAATCTCGGGTTCACAACTCTTGCTGCACTTTACAGTCCTCAGGGAGCTTTTAAATTGTGGGGTACCTAGGCAGCACCCTAGATCCATCAAGTCAGGATCTTTGCGGGTAGGGCCCAATGTCTGTGGTGTCTGAAAGTTCCTGTGAAGCAGAAGCCCAGAGTAGTTTCTGGTGATGTGAATCTTCCCCCTCCCCTGCCCGGAGGACTGAGCTGCTTCCAGTAATTAACCCCTTCACTTCTGGCAGTTTCTTCCACCTCCCCCAGGCTCTCTTTTCCTTTGTAAAAGGATTAACTTTTTAGGTTGTTGTGAGGGTCAAATAAGACATGAAGTACTTTGAAAGTGTGAAAACACTTGCAATGAGAAGTGTCCTCGTGGAAAGCTTTCCCTTGGGTCCCGGCCTCCAGTTCCTCATTGTCCTCAGAGGGTATTTCTGTACTTAGGGCCGAAGCCTCAGAGGGAAGTGGAGCTGGGCAAGTGGACAGTCACTGTATAGCCAAGTTTATACACGTACATTTCAGGAAAACCCTACAACATTATAAACTGACATGTAAAAACTGATTACGTGAACCAAAAAAACCCCTGATTATGTCAATATACAGACAAGAGCATGGGAAATTTAATTTAATAAAATACTTTATTTAAGGTCCACATATTAAAGTGTTTAAGTTTATGGAAAATACACACAGAGTTGGATATGTACTCATAGAAAAGAATCTAGAAGGAAAGAGACCAAATATTAACCATACTTTTCTTTTGATAAAGGATTATGGGTGATTTTATTTAATTGTATTCTCTTTGTTCACCTATAATTTTCTAAATAAAGCGTCAAAGGGTAATAAGATGTTGCTACATTTGTATTACTTTAAAATTCTAATTATTAAAAAAACAGTTTACCATCTTAGCCATTTCCGAGCACAGGGGGCCATCGCACTGAGTATACTCAAGATGTTGTGTGGATGTTATTAATTTTGTATTGAGAAATGAAGACACCATTTCTTCTAAAAAAAAAAATGCCACCGTCGCTGAATTAAAATGAAAAGAGCACACCATCCTAAGTGCTTTAGAAGACAGATGTTGGCCCCTCTGCAGGTACCTCTGTAAAGGATCTCTGTCATCTCAAGGTAAAGAAATAGCCCAGGTAGACCCTGGGCTCCTGGGTCACTCCGATGGCCCACATCTGGGGCCGACTTAGTCTTTCTTACAACCGACTTACAGCCGACTTAGTCTTTCTTACAACAGGCAGGCGACAGGAAGAATTTTCCCTCCACCCCCACCCACCAGTGACACTCCACTCTTACTGCCACAAGAAGCATGGATTTAGTCTCTGGCCTCAACACGAGCCTGCAGAGCTCCCTGATGGAATGCCTTCTCTTTTCCAGATAATTGCTTATCAGCCCTATGGGAAGTCGGTGGATTGGTGGGCATTTGGAGTCCTGCTATATGAAATGCTGGCCGGGCAGGTAATTGAATATTAAGTGATTTATAAGCTAAGGCCTCCCCCACCCTCATCCTTATAGTTTCTTTTGAAGATAGCTTCTGGTCCTGGCTCATAAATCCTCTGAGCCTCTGACTTTCACCACCCTGGGGTCACCCTAATGCCTTGAGCATTTGCCTCGAAGTGAGCCCGGAGGGTGGGTCTGCTGGCTGGGGCATGGGGGGAGTTTAGGCAGGAGTGCTTCCTCCCCTCCGCTTTTTCTGCCCCACAGGCACCCTTTGAAGGGGAGGATGAAGACGAGCTCTTCCAGTCCATCATGGAGCACAATGTGGCTTATCCAAAGTCCATGTCCAAGGAAGCCGTGGCCATCTGCAAAGGGGTAAGTGAGCCCCGTCAACTCTGGTGGCCAGACTGCCATGTAGCGGGGACCTGCCCCAGGCATCTCACCCAGGGAGAGTAGGGGAGGGAGACTGCCTTCAGCACTCACCCACTTGCTTACCCAGGAGCCCTGGCACAGAGCGGCTGCCTCCCAGAGAAAAGAAAGCTATTTTCTAATATGCACAAAAGCAGCATGGAGGCCTGCCTGCAACAGCCTTTTGCTGCTGGCTGGACTCCAGGCTTGGGCCAGCACAGGGGTAATGCTTACTGAATGAATGAAGGAAGAAGCATAGAGACTTTGCCAAAGAGCTGGAACCCAGGCAAAGGGGCACAAGAGGTCCCCTACTCAGCTCCGCCAGCCTTGCCCAGCTCTGCTCTGTGTGTGCAGCTAATACTAACAGCGTATGATTTTTGTTCTTAGAAAGGATCAAGTAGTATTGGGTTGAAGGGCTTCTCAGATGGGCTGACCCGGTGGTGTCCCTGAGCCCCCCTCTTCCCTCAAGACGCAGTGCATGCACATTTGTACAAGCACAGTGTATGCAAGCTGTGTTTGTGCACAAAGGAGGACTTGCATTTGTGGAGTAAGGATCGCTCATTATGAACCATGTGTTAAGCCCAGGTGTGCTCGCAGGGAGCTGTGTGAGTCCTTGGAGATCAGTGGTCCTCACCTTTGGTGCCCTCAGATGGACCTGAAGTGCTTTTTCAGAATGGGCATCGCTCAGTGTCACCTCCGAGAGGAAGTCTGTATGTCTGTGTTTTGCAAGGGCCTCATGTGGCTGTGCAACATTATCCAAATGTGGTGTCTATTCACCTCTGGTGAGAGTGTGGAAGCAATGCTCTGAGACCCCAGGAAATTAGGCCTGCGCAGCTGCCTCCAGGCTGCCCCACAGTCTGGGTTGCAGGTTGAAGCACTGCCACGCCTACCCAACAGGCACCCACCTGGGCATCTGAAATAAACCAGGGCTGCTGGCCTTGATCCTCGGAGTGTTCGCAGATTTCCCTCTGCCGGTCCGATCTTATCCTTCCTGACTGGTCAGATCCCTATACTGGCTGGCCCTGGTCAGGAGGGAGCTGGGAAACACCAGCAGTTTGGAATAGCTGGGACAAGTCTCAGTGTAGAAACAGCTTGTCACACCTTCTAGAATCCTGCTCTTAGTGAATCACCTACCTTTTGTGTTTCAACTGCAGAGATAAAGCTGAAAATATTCTTGGGGAAAAACACATAGGCATTCATCTCCATCCCTAACACCTTTTTTTTTTTAAGTTTGATGGAAATGTTTACTTAAGAGAGTATTCTTATTCTTCCCCCTACTCCCCCCATACCCCTTGTGCACCCTTGTCCCTTTCCTTCCCCCTCACTGTTGAATTCAGGGCCCTCAGGATGTTTATTGATGTCCACAGGTTTCTGCAAGGCTTTTAGTTATTGTAGGGAAAATTAAATAACAGGTGTTTTTTTCTCCTCCCTGCCACTAGCCTCTGTGGCCACCACCTCTGGCCTTCTTTCCTCCCACGTGTCATCATTACCCACATGTGATGACGTATTATTGTAAAAAAGCTCTTGGGAACACGAATGGGGCACAAATACCTATAAATATGGATGCTCTGGCCGCTGGCCGAGAATGTGGAGATTACAGGAGATCGTGGGGACTGGGAGGCTTGGTTGCTGCTTGCCTCCCAGCCTCCCAGCTTCCAGACTCTCTGCCTCCCAGCCTCCCTGCCTCTGAACTTCCCTGCTTTCCTGCCTCCCAACCTCCCTGCCTCTGAGCCTTCCTGCCCCCCAGCCTCTCTGCCTCCCAGCCTCTCTGCCTCCGAGCCTCCCTGCCTCCCAGCCCCCCTGCCACTCTGCCTCCCTGCTTGCTGGTCTGCCTGTGTCTGGTCCCCTGCTTCAGCATTCAAGGCTTGTCAAATCTACCTAAGTCTCCAAGATTCCTTTTTCATTTGCCCGAATCAACAGTGAGCCTGCCCACCCTGCGTCTGGCTTGCCCCCACAGTTATCAAATTGTCTGCTATGGGGCCTCCCCTGGTGGCGCAGGTGGTTGAGCTGCCGCGCTGTGAAGCTGTCCGCAGCTTCTGTAGCGCCGGTTCGATTCCCGGCCACCAGCCACCGGCGAGGGTTCCACATGGCGAGGCAGACCTCTCCTGTTGTGCCCGCTGCTCCCCTCGGCAGTGTATTTCGTCAGTCTGCCTGTTCTGTTCCCCGTTCTGTCTCTGGTGAATCCTCTCAGCCTCCCGCACATCTGGCCTGTACCCCGGTTCTTGCATAAATTAATAAATTTTTTAAAAAAATTGTCTGCTATGTAAATGTCCAGTATTTGAGACATTTCATAGGCCTTTTGAATATCTAACATCTTAAAGTGAACTGGTTGAAAATACTTTGAGGGGATGAGGCAGGGAGAGGGGAAATTAGGAAGAGAGTGGAGACCCCAAGGTTCATTAGGAGCTAAGCAAGGCCCTTGAAAAAAAGAGGATAAAAGGAGGGTCTGATCAGATCCTTGTGGATATCATATGGGGGTTGAGGGAGAGGGAGGAGGTTTTCGACTGCTTAATAATTGCCAATATTGAAAGATCAGGGAATTTCCCATAAACATTCGGCTTTCCAGTTTCTCTTGAAAAATCCAGCCTCACAGTGATGGTCTGTCATCCTTGCAAAGTGTCAGTGAGCTGGGTTAGCAGTCCCCTTTAGATAGGGCATGCCCTCCCCAGTTTGTAAATACCCCATCTCTGTTCAAATCCTAGTCCCGGCACTGTGCCCTATGACAGCGGGGAATTTGTCCAACCTCATCTGTAGATTGGGGATAATGATAGTACTACATATAGGGTTCTTTGGGGAGTAAATGAGTTAATACATGCAAATCACTTACAACAGAGCCTGGCGCTCTGCTCCAAAACCCTTGGACTATTATTATTTCTATTACTAATGCTGGCACTACTATGTTGCACACCAGGCTCCTCTTGGCATTTAAGTTTGCAGCCCCCAAGATAGGAATTTTCAAAGGATGGGGATTTGGGAAATCAAGACCCTTACAAATCTGGACCCGTCCTCTACCTTAGCACATGGTCTTTGCATCTCCTGACTCCTGTTTCTTTTGTCTCTGAAAATGGAGTGACAATAATGCTCATTGAGCAGAGTTTCTGAGAGCTTTAAATAAGGTGACATAAGACAAAACTCATTGCATGGTGTTGGCACATAGTAGGTCCTCCATGCATGCTCAAGATCCCCCCTTCACAACTCCGCCCTGCTGGACAGCTGAGGCCTCTAAGTGGGTCATGGAGGAAAGGGGATTTTTCCAGGTCAGCTGCATTCAGCTTCAGCTCCAATTAGCAGTTTCCCCAGTAGAGCAGGTTTCTGTTAATTTAGAACCCATAACCTTCAGGATTAACGGGGGTGACTTTCTGACCATTGGGGTGGGATCTTTCTGAATTGAGTGGGCCAGAGTCCAGCAAGTGCACTTTCTTCAAGGTCGATGCTCCAAAGAAGAAGTGACGCTCAAATCCACAGCCAAATCCTGCCTCTTGAACCTTGGGCCCCGGGGATGGTCTGGGGGTGATCAGAGGGGAACAGTGATGAGATGCAGCTGCTTGCGTGGCCCCAGGCACGTCCGCGAGGAGTGTGGACACTGGACAGAGAGGCGCATCAGTGCTGGATGTATCTGCAGTGACTTTTTGTCATTGGGCACTTCCTGCTTACACTGCAACTGAGCTCGGCTTTTGACAGCGATCTCCTGTCAGCTGAAAGGTCCTTTATGTATTCATCCCTCTGAAGACCCTATTTTGTACCAAAAAAATTACTGTAACTGCTCAGATTGCCACTCCACTCTGAACAAACTTAAAGCAGAGGGAAGCTCACGTTGCCCACACACTGGGGGAAAAGCAAGCAGAGGCTGATGGAGACTCCTGGCTGGGGCAGCCAGGGCTCTCGGGTCAGGCCGTGTTCAGTGCACAGCTCTGCTACTTCGCTGTGTGACCTTGGGCAAATGCCTACTCTAGGCCCAGTTTCTTCATCTAGATAAAGAAAAATAGTGACTGAGGCTTCAAAGTCTTGTCACCTGGAGGAAAGAGTCCTGTGCCTTTAGCACAGAGCCAGGCATGTTGGAGGTGTTCAGTACCCGAAAACCACCCTTGATATTGGCAGCAGGGCTCACCAAGACCTTCTAGCCCTTTCTTTCCTCTCATTTCTTCTTTCCTCCCTTTCTTAGTCCTACTCAGATGTCAAGGTTTGGCCCAATTTGTTTGCCCTCTGTAAAACTTTTCTGGCCAAACCAATCCACAATGATTCCTGGGGATCCCACTTGCAAAGAGTTTTCTCATTTGTCTTAAAAGCCCATGATTTGGAGTTAGGCAGAGGAGCTGTCACTTGCTATCTCAAGTCCTTGCTCGTTGCTTAACCTCTCTGATAACTTCCTCGTCCTGGGCAAAAATCTGAGAACCTTGACATCAAGGTTACTTGGTGTCAGGTCAACTCAGGGAAGCTTCTTGGGTTTGTATGTTCCAGTTTCTTGTTTCCTCTTTTGAGTCCTTCTTATTGGTCTTCACCCCCCCCCACCAAAAAAAAATTGCCAAGTCCTCCATCTTTACTCTCTGTGCACTCACTGAAGTCTTGAGATCAGAGATATTTTCATGCTGCTTCAGATTCATTTACAAGAGGAAGCCTGTCTGGTTTTTCATCTTGGAGCATCTATTCATCTTGTTATTTAGCCCTGGCTCAGAGACCCAAAGATAGAGGGCTTGATAATTAAGTAATTTAAATGGAACACCAAAGAAGCCTCAGCGGAGTTTAGTATAATGTGTGATACAAGGGAAATGAGCTGGGCTAGGTTTTGACTATTTAATGAGATTTCAGAAAGTAATTACTTGAAACTTGGGTCCATTTGACTAATATTTTTTCTTCTGTTTTGTCATTTTCACAAGTGCTTTACTGAGGAATGCAAATACTACGTGAATCAATGTGGCCTTTGCCTTGGTCAAACTCCAGTCTCCTTGTGGTGGGAGGGAGGGTATTTAGAGATGTTGAAACTGTTCTCATTAAATGCACCAGTAATTGCATAAAACATATTCTTCAATAAGAAGGTGTCACGTGGCATTTCTAACTTGGAGTTCAGGGCCACATTCAGGCTTATGTCTGACCCTTCCCATAAGGAGTACTCCGGGATGAGTAGCAGCAGGTGTTGTCAGGTCCTCCCATTATAAAGATTTGGCTAGGAAATTATTGCTGGGCTGGCTGGCAAAAAAATAAAAATTAGCTGAGACTCTGCCTTGTGCTTTCTTCATTCAGGAAGTCATCCCTCAAAGTGTCTCTGCTCCTCTTCTTGAAGTGCATTAATTCAATATTTCTCTTTCTCTTGAAGCTGATGACCAAACACCCGGGCAAACGCCTGGGCTGTGGACCTGAAGGCGAACGTGACATCAAAGAGCATGCATTTTTCCGGTATATTGATTGGGAGAAACTTGAACGCAAGGAGATTCAGCCCCCGTATAAGCCAAAAGCTGTAAGTAGCCTGTTCCCTGCGGTTGTTGGGTCCACACACGTAACCCACTCATTTCCCTCTCACACTCTGAATGTTCCCTAAGGGACAGGCATCGGTGCCTCTACTTGAATAAGTCTCCAGGTGCTCACAGTTTTGCCCAAAGTCACCGGGAATAAAAATGGAGACGTCCATTCATATAGCCCAGCTCCTACAAAGTGGGGAAGATGATGGCTGTCAAGTCCCTGTTCTGTCGATTCAGTCACGGTAACAGTCTTAGCTGGCATTTTTTGAGAATGGTTCTTTGGCGAATAGGATTGGATCTGGATTTGAGTCCAGATCCATTTTTGGACCGTGGTAAAGAATCTAATTTTGCTGTCGCTCTTTCCTCTGTTCGACTGTGTTGTCTTCTCTTCATACTGGCATCAAAGATCATGTTGTTTATGTCAATGGTATTTAAATTTAATTCTGAAACACACTGCATTGGAGTCGGTAAGTAAGACAGGTCTACCAGCCGGCTCCCACCCAAGGCGAAACAACAGAAACTGAGGCGCTCGGGGACTCCTGCAGGCTCTGGGGAGCCAGTGCTTTGAGATGGTTTCTGTAATGTAAGAATACGTCTCGCACTTCGTACTGCTATGCACACATGGGGGCTTTTCAGCCCCACAGGCTCAGCAGGGAGTGCCTGTCAGCACTGGGGAGAGTTTGCACCTGAATTAATCAGAACTGTGATTCTGTTAGGAGGATATTTCTTTGTGAGATTAAGCAGAGCAGAGACCTGGTGGCTTTATTATGGGTTATAAAACCACCGGCTGAGCTGAAAAGTAAGCCTGAACATTGTCATTGAAACCTAAAATGTAAGGGTCTCTGATGTTCAGGTGAAGCAAATGGTGATTATTGTAGTTGCTTTTGATAGTATTAATTTCTTGATCACTTATTATGTGCCAGGCCCCATCTTAAGCATTTCACATGTAGCAGCTAATCACATCCTCACCACACCCAATGGATGCAGTGCTGCTATCCTTAGTCCAAGGTCACTCAGTTGGTATGTGATGAACCCTCTTTCCCTCTGGACCCTTCCTGGTGTTAGGAAGCCAGATCTGGCAGAGGCAGCCAATTCCACTGCGTGGCCCTCTTAATTATTGCAAACTTATATTTTGACAGTCCGTCAACTTTCCCAAACTGGCATCGCTGTGTCCAGTCCAGCCGTCCAGCCTCTTTCTCTGTAGAGTGTCCTTCAGACACTTGCAGATGCTGGTCTAATGTTCCTAATCCTGTGATTTCCAGGATAAACATCCCCACCACCACCAGCAAGCAGGTGCTTATTGTCCTCCAGGTAATCAACACTCACCTTAAAATACACTAAAGTGTAAGGGTTGAGCAGTCTTCCTAAGAGTATCTGAGCTCAGTGGATATAGCGGGTCCAGCAATCTCTTGATTCTAGAGCTGGTAAACTTGGACGATTCAGTTCCCCTTCCTGCTCTCTATTTCATCCTTTGCAATGAAATAGAGTCAGAGTAATTATCATAGCAATTAGCAATAAATAATTCCATCAGAGGGTTGTTATGATGCATAAAGCATTGATATGTGCCTGGCACATAGTAGGAACTCTGGAGTTGATCATTACATTTGTTATCAGTGTCCCTCGTGCAGTGCCTATGAGAGGTAGAACAGTGTCAAGTTCTACAGATACTGTCCCTTAAAATAATGTCCATGTGTGTCCATGGGGCTGGGGAGGGGTCTTGCACGTCCTGGGCAGTATCATCATGTTTATTGAGCCATTTGGAAAAAGACCAAAGCGCAATCTGGAAGGGAAGAAGTGGTTCTTCCTTCAGCGAGCTGGGAACTTGGAGGCGCGACACACAGCTCTCTGGTGTTTTGCAGAGCGATCTGTGAGGTCTTAGAGCATGGACCCCTCTCTCCTCACTTGGCCAGAGGAGAGATGTAGATGCCCCCAACCCACCAGCACTGAACTCAGCCCCCAACCCACCAGCAGTGACATTTCAGGTTCATTCTTTAGTTGTAAATCAGTGGTCTGGTCCCCAGACCAGCAGTATCATTGTCACCTGAGGGCAGCAAAACCCTGGGGGTGGGTCCCCCTAAATGAATCTGATGCTCACTCCAGGCTGAGAATCATTGCTTGGAGGTCAGCTTTACAATCTCAAGCAGGGAGGCGAGGCAGGGGAAAGATGTCTTTAAGAGGAAGACTATCTCTCTTGAGTCAGGGTGAGAGGTGGTAGCTGCCAGAAACAGGTCCCAGACTCAGATGTGTACCTGCAGAGGCAGCCAGGTAGTGAGCTGAGGGATGAGGGAGCTTGGAGACAGGCTGTCTGGGGAGCTGGCAGGCCATTAGCAGCCCAGCTGGTCTTTGTCTCTAGCTGAACGGTTAGCGCATCCTGCTGATCATTACTGATGACTGTGATCTTTTCATATTATTCATGCTAAGAACATGCTTTACTGGGCACCTCCTATGAACCAGACCAGAACTAGCCAGGTTTGCCCTGCAGGGATGCAGGCTCTGCATTGCTCCATCATCAGGATTTTTTTCATTTTTTTTTTTATATCCCAGCAACAAATCTTTAAAAAGTTAAACACAGTTCAAGTTAAATAAAACTCACCTGTAAGCCACAGGGGACCCATGAACGGTCTACTCTGTAATCTCTGGGGCAATGATTAACTCAGGTTCATAATTTAACTAGTCCCATTAGTACTGGTTATTTACAACCAGAGTCCTTGCTGACTGGTTTAATATTTTGAAAACACCTGCTAACAGTAATGAATATAAAAGGTCCATTATTGATGGTGCTCCAGAAAAGGTAGCTGTTGTCATCATGGATAATATAAAAAAGACTGGTCATTAGTAATGATAACAGGATCCTCCAGCAGTTCCGCTTTTGATATGGTTTCCAGCCAGCCAGTGTCTTGAATTTCTTTGGGTGGATTTGAAAATGACTTTCAAAGTATGGCGATGGGCCGGGTCTGTGTACGTCAAGATATTCTGCCCCAGCTCTGAGGGGAGGCAGGCGCTGCTTTGATCTCCCTAGACTGAATTAGAAGTAATAATAACGGATCCGCCACCCACTCACTCATCTCATTCAACCTGCGCAGATGCCTGTCACGTGGGTGATGCCGGCCCATGAGCACCCCCCTCCACCAGGGACTTCACGTTTCCTCTTCCCCACACCTCCCGAAAGGTTCGGGGTGTGTGTGCAGAGTCCCTGTGCCGTGTGGCATAGGAGAGGGCCTGCGTGTGCCTGCCAGCTCCTGATTCATGCTATTAAGTAGAGCTTAGCTTGAGAAAACACAGAGCAATAGCAGAGGATTGTAGCCAAACATCAGTGAATGGTACTATTATGGGAGGGTCATTAAAATAATTTTAAATGGGTTTTTTAGGTTTTTCTCAGTGCCATCTCTTAATTGTAGCAAGGAGCTGTTCCCGGTATTGTTCCAGTTGCTGGGGTCCACCAGCTCTGCTGTATGTTTCAGGGTGTAGTCACTTCCCTTTCCAATGTGCACTTGATTAAGTCATTGCTTTTCCATGAAGCCCCGGGATGACTGTCTGCTGCCCCGAGGATATTGGTGTTGCCACTTAGCCTACTTGGCTTCGGGGGTCTCCCAAGATCCAGCCTCTGCTCCTCCCAGCTTCAGTGCCTGACTCCAAGAACCAGTGTTCCTGAGCCCTTCCTGCTCTGTCCATGCAGAGCCTTTGCCTGGGGCACCCAAAGCCCTGCCCCTGGCCCCTACCTGCCCCTCCTGCTGCCTTGCTCCTTCCCCTGTCAGGTCAGAAGGTCACCTCCTCAGGAGGTGCTTGTTGATTCCTGAGTAGGATCATCAGTGTCCCTGTCAATAAACTCATCTCACTGAGTTGTAATTCTTCTGTCTTCCACTAGATGAAGAGATGGTGACTACCTTTTCAGTGTCAAGTTCCTGCTTGGAATAGGGTTTAGCATACAACAGGTGCTTAATAACTTTGACTGAATGAACGAATGATGGGCTGTATGTAGCATAGGCTGCTGCGGTGCCTTGGGCTGAGGACTGTAGGGCTGCTTGTGGGATGTATCTGCGAGCACAGGGTGTTTTTCTCGTGTGCAGCAGGGTGTCTCAAATAAATTGGTTGTTGTGTAAGTTACTACCCTATTTATAAAGGGCTGTAATTTGGGTGCTGAATTGTAGCTGTCATGGCACCATGTGCCAGTGCAATCCCAGAGGAGGAGCCGCGCTGTAGTGTGTGACGCCCTGACCTGGGGTGGAGCAGGCTGGGCCCAGCATCTGCCCTGGCCTGCCCCCGCCTTCAAGGCGAGGGGGGGAGGAGGAGGAGGGAAGTTGGGGGCTGTGATGAGGCCCAGCAGAGCTTCTTTAGCTTTGGCTCTTGCATTGCCCCTGGATATCTGGCTGAGATGTGCATTTTGACTTGGGTCTGGAGCAGGGTGTAAGGGCAGGACTGGGCACAGTGCAGGTTTTCTGATCCCATGCAGACTGGGTAAAGGAAGAGTCAGAGTCCTCAGTAGTTTTGCAGGTTTTTTATTGGGGTTCACCAGGCATATGGCAGGCAGGGGTGCTGGCTGGGGGACTGGGAGGCTGGCAGGCCTCCCAGCCCCCAGCAAGTCTTCACTCTATCTGGGCTCTCTGGAGTTCGTTCTGCTGCTTCTCGGCTTCTCTTTTGGCTTCGGCTACTGCTGCTACTGGTGCTGCTGGCGTCCCCCGTGACGCCGCCCTTAAAAGCACAGTCTTAGCTCAGCTGAATCCCATCTACCTATGCCCACACCCTATTCCAGGTGCCCGCCATCAGGCATGCATTCAGGACAAGGATCCATCATCTATCCTGATGGCGGGAGGGCAGAAAAGCCTGATATTTTCTTTACCCTACAGTCCACCCCCTCAGGGTTTTCTGCCATACAGTCTTTACATATATATACAATTTTCTAAGCAAACAAACAATGCAGCCATGGCCCACAAAAGCAAATACATCAAATATAACAAAATACAATATAACAAAATACAACAGAACACAAATAAGTCCAGGC